CACCCAGGCCCAGAGTTCAAACCCCATGACAGACAAAAAAAAAAAAAGCTGCAGGATGGTATGAAAATACATTTGAGGCACCAAATGGCCACCTGAGAAAGGAATCATAAATATTTTTCTTATCAGTATAATTATTATAATTAATAAAAATGTTTCTTATAATCAATCCCAGCAGACTAGGATTCTCAGCCTGTCCCACCATGCAATTAGAAGGATATTGTATTTCTAGATATGAAAAACACTTCATTGCACTTAAATTCTTTTATTCCTTTTTCAAATTTTTTGCTGTAATTAGCAAATAAAAAATATCATTCATATTGTTTGATACTCTAACCAACACATGGTGAAATGGATGAATCAGCTAACATATGCTTTTTCTTACATACTTATCATTTATTGTAGTGAGAACACTTAAAATCTACTGAGTAAGCTAGATATGGTAGCATACCTATGTAATCTCAGCTACTTAAGAGGTGAAGATTGGAAGGACTGCAGTTCAAACAGGCAAGAAGTTAGCAAGACTCCATCACAATCAATCATCAGGACATGGTGGTTTATGCCTGTCATCTCAGGTGTGCTAAACATGTGGCCAAGCCCAATACCAAGCAAGAAATGAGACCTTATCTGGGGGAAGGGGGTAATTTTAGAACAAAAAGTCCTGGAGATGCGGCTCAAATGCTTAGCAAGCACAGGCCCTCATTTTAAAAACCTAGTACTCCCTGGGCGCCAGTGGCTCATGCCTGTAATCCTAGCTACTCAGGAGGCTGAGATCAGAGGATCATAGTTCAAAGCCAGCCCAGGCATTAATGTATGTGAGACTCTAATCTCCAAGTAACCACCAGAAAACCAGAAGTGGTGCTGTGGCTCAAGTGGTAGAGCGCTAACCTTGAGGTGAAGAGCTAAGGGACAGCACCCAGACCGAGAGTTCAAGCCCTACAACTGACAAAAAAAAAAAACCCTAGTACCCTAAAAAAAAATCTAAGTAATTTTCAAACTTGCAGTATGCTGTCTCATTAACTATAGCCATTATCTATAGAATCTCTCTCCCCCTCTCTGTCTCTCTGTCTCTGTCTCTGTCTGTCTCTCTGTCTCTGTCTCTGTCTGTCTCTCCGTCTCTCTGTCTCTGTCTCTGTCTGTCTCTGTCTCTCTGTCTGTCTCTGTCTGTCTGTCTGTCTGTCTGTCTCTCTCTCTCTGCTCATCCTATGGCTTGAACTCAAGGCCTGGGTGCTCTCTCTGAGCATTCTTTTGCTCAAGGCTAACACTCTACCATTTTTCTGAGGAGTCTTTTAGACTGTCCTGCCTAGGCTGGTTTCAAACTGTGATCCTCAGATCTCAGCCTCCTGAGCTACAATCGATGTCTTGAAAGTCAAATTTCTATTTCTTTATGTCTAACCTCCACTTCTGGTCAGCAGAATGCCCCTGATGGGTTGTAAGAGACCCTGTCTCAAGAGCTGAAATGTTGGGAGCAGAGGGACAGTTGGTTTCAAACTCCTTTCCACCAGTTTTCAAAAGAAAGCAAAGCCCCTTGGCCCTCAAAATTATTCATCAAAATTACCTGGACGATTGCTGAAACAGATACTAGATCCCAATACCAGAGTTTCTAAGTGGATAGAGTGCAGGACTGAGCCAAAGAATTTTTCATTCCTAATAATCCTGAAGAAAAACACTGACATTTAGTGCTTTAGACTTTCCTTTGGTAACTAAGGCCTAGCTTTCATTTTATCAATGAGTTAACTGAAGTCCAGGGTGAAACACAAGTCTTTGTGGATATTGATCTTACCAAACAAGATAAAAATTCTCAGAGGTGGAAAATGATACAGGAAAGGAAGCAAGGATATCTTCAGCCGTGAGCAGGGCTATTATTAATGGGCACTACTTACTCTGCTGTAGCAGGGGTATTATGGTCACACATAGTTCAGATTGGAAGGCAAAGTGGGAAGCAGAGAAATCAGACATTTGGGGGTTCCACAGGAGCCCAGCACACAGCCTTAGTGTCCCTGGATGACAAGATGGTTTGGAAGCCTGACCCAATACCAAGCCTTGCCAAATATTGCCCTCCGCATCTCAGTGAGCACTAATGTACACCTTTTGCCCAACCCTCACAATAACACTGATATCCAATTTGCCAATGGGAAAAACTCCATTCAATATGTGAAGCAACCCAGTTTGTGGCTCGTAAATTAGCAGAGGTATGAGGAATCCAAGATAACAGATTTAGCTCCTCCCTCAGCTGGTCTTAGATTTTACCAATAAAAATGAGTGAAATAACAGCATCTAGACACAGCCCTCTAAAAGTTCAATGAGAATGTGAATAAAGTGCTGAACACCCATTGCATATATATTTGCCCAGCATAGTGGTTCTCAACTGGTAGTAATTTTTAATTTGGGAAGTATGTGATAATGGGGATATTTTTGATTAGGAAGAAGCCAAGGATATTGATACTTACTCTACAAGACAGGCCCTACATCCCATTGTTTCCCTTATTTGCAATAACTAGTATAAGTCTAGGACAGGCAGAAAAGGTCAAAAGCTATGTACATATGACCAGATAAAATAATGTTAAGTGAAATGAACCCCAAGATAGGGACACAAGTGGTTTTTCCTTTCTTGCTATTGTTTTTAATGTATTTAAAATGTACTATGTGATTTTTTTTGTTTCTCTTGTATGTTCTTCCCCCATGATATGACACCCCCCACCGTTTTCACTGTATTTGATGTTGGTGCCCTGCATCTTGTATATAGATTTTTCTAATTTGGGGAGGGGAAGGGAAATAACAAAATGCTGAAATAAGGATACAGTATGACCCACTGTAACAATGAAATGTACACGACACTATGTTGACAATCAACTTTACAACTTGGGGAGGGGAGGGAGGCGTTGAGGAGGTGGCAAGGGAAGGGATGGTAGGGAAAAACAAAGGAGGAGGTAACAGTGCTCAATAGGAAATGGACTCATTAACCTTACTCATGTAACTGTAACCCCTCTGTATAGTATTTTTACAATAAAAATAAAATAAGGCATCCCCTACGGCAAAGAATGATAGTACCCAAAGTTTCAATAGTACTGAGGGTTTGAAACTCTGTTGGTGGCATAATGCAGAAGACAGTGACCACATGCAAATTACAGCATACACACTCAAGGGGAAAATTAAGAAACATTACAGTGGCAATAAAGCCTTAGAAATAGTCACAGGGTTATTAGTGTCATTTCACTATGAAATTCTATGCTAGATATACTTATAAAATAATTTTAATAAATGGTTAAAAATGCTCTTAGCACCATGGAATTAATCTTTTAAAAAAAAAAAACACTTGGAAGAAAATTCAGACAGCAGGCTTCTAGGGTTGCAAAAGTTCTTTCCATTATTATCAAGTTTCCTCATTCTATTTCCTTCAATGCTTCACAAAAGTTTTATACAGAAGAAAATGATTTAGGGCTCACATGAAGGGATGGTGGGGTTTGGAGAGATGGGAGAGAAAAGGGTGGCATCATTCAAGATGCATCATGGAACACTTGCTGAACAACTACTAAAAGACTTTCAAAATAAATTTAAAAATTAAAAACAAAATAAAGTGTATATCATCACTTGATATGCACTTGGTTGTTTTTTTCATGTAAATTCTTTTCTGGGAATATCAAGGTAATGTATAGGTTTTTGCAAACATGGACCTGGATTTTACAATCTGTTTTAATAAGGTTGAGGGTTTGACTTTCTAACATCTAGATGCTCTGTCAGTCTATCCTGCCTGCCTGGAACAGAGCAACTTTCCTTTACAATACCATCAGTAGATACATCCCCTGTGTCTTCTAAGTTATCTCCCCTCACGTGTTCACTTGTGTGCCTCTGCTTTCCCTCCAGCTGCTCTCTTCCCACCCAGTCCTCCCCATTCTGTCCAACTGTCTTTATCATCTGCCATACTCATCGCTGCTTTCCCTGTTATGTTTCAATTTCCCACTGACAGCAGCTAAAGACCTATTTCTCCAGGATCCTTTCAGGTGATTTCATTCACCCACGTTTTATTCAAGGAATCAGAGGGTTATTTGGAAACCTCATACTTTTCACCATTCACTGTCATTATTAGAGAGAATATACTTATATGAAATGAGGACAGCTGGTTGCTGATGGCTCATTCCTTTAACCCCAGTTATTCAGGAGGCTGAGATCTAAGGATTGTAGGTTGAAGCCAGCTCCCGCAGGAAAGTCCATGAAACTCTTAGCTCCAATTAACCACCAGAAAGCCAAGAAATTGTGTTAGCATGTTAGCTCTATGTTAAAAAAAAAAAAAAAAAAAGTTCAGGGATAGTGGCCCAGACCTTAGAGGCAACTCCCAAGACTGGAACAAAAACTAAATAAATAAAGAGAAACCAAATGTAGGCACAGTGGGAGGCCAGAATGGGATTGGAAGAAAGATGTAAAGTTATGCAGCCTGGAAACAATTCAATCATGAGGCAAATGGTTGGACCAAGAAGGACATGAGGTCTCCCGTGTCTCCTAATTACTTCCAGGCAGTATGGCTGCTCAAGAGCGTTTTTTGTGATGTGTATATTTCACCTCTGAGCTACCCAAGGGGTTGTGACTGAAAAGTGAAGGAACACTGCCACCCCCTTCCCAGGAAACTTAACATGCAAACGAAGATATAACCCTGCCTCCTCTCCACCTTCCCAAGTGGTTGGTAAAGCAGAAAGGGGCAGGTGAGAAATGGACTCAGAGATTTGCAAGAAAAGCAAACCAATATCAGAAAGAGCAATGAGAAGCCAGGAAAGAAAGAAGAAAAGAAATCAATGCCCAGGAACCATGGGAAGGGGTGGAAGAAAGGGGCAGAAGGAAACCTTAAAAGAGACAGAGAAGAAAATCACACCCAGGGACCAGCACTAGGAAGGCAGCAGTGGCCTGGTATCCTGAGTTACACTCTCACCACAGGAGAAACTCTCCTCTAGGAAAACACATCAATAACAACATATCTCCGTTCCATTCTTTTCCACATAGACTTTAATTCGTGATGCATTCAAAGGGGAAGGACCAGCGCACACTTCAGAAGAGTGAACTACACGAATTTCTGCGCTCTTTGCTGAAAGGTTGGAGACGGAACAGGTGGCCACAGAAGCCACCTCGGGTCCCCTTGGCCACGACCAACCAACCTTGTTTGTTTTTGTTTGTTTTCTTGGATTCCTCTGATCCACAAGGAATTTAACGATGGCTTTAATCACGATGAAACCAAACGACGCTGTTATGAAAACAACTCCCCAAATTCCTCTTCTTTTTTCTGAAGTTCCTTTTATTAATTGAATCATTTTTTTAAAATCCGTCTTCACCTCCATGTGCATTTTTCCCATCGTTCTCCGGGGTTTAGGAGAGACCCAGACGGGGGCGCTCCCCACAACAGTTCTGATGGGTGGTCAGGGTACCCCGCAGTCAATCCTGGTGTGTCCCCTCTTCCCCGGGCGCCCCTTCCCAAACCCCATCCTGTCTCCAAAGGCTGGCGTACGCCGTGCGACTGTAGCCGGCGCTGTAGTCGTAGGACACCTGAGGGGGCGCGGGCGGCAGGGCGCAATCGGCGAAGAAGGGGCCGAAGGAGGCCAAGTGGCCGGGCCCGTCCTCCGCGCCCGGAGCGTCCGCGGCGGCGGCGGCGGGATAGAGGGGCCGCAAGGGCTCGTTCAAGGTCAAGCCACCGCGGGCTGCGGTCAGGGACGATTTCTTGGTCGGGGGACCACTTGGGGTGCTCCAAGGATCGGGATACAATAGGTTCCCCACTAATGCCGGTGGTGGCTCAAAGAGGCCAGGCTCCAGCTCCAAAGGTGCCCGCAGGACCGCGGCCCCGGCGGGGAACACGTCGAGAGGCTCCGCGGCCAGCAAGACGCCCGCCTCCGCGCCCGTGCCATAGTCGGACCCCAGCAACTCGAAGAACTCCACGGCCTCCGCCCCTTTCTCCAGGTCTCCCAGACTCACGCCGGACCCCGACGGGCTACACCCGCTGCTGCCTCCGCCCGCGCGGGACGGCTCGGTGAAGAAGGACGGTGGCAAGTTGCGAGCCCGCAGCGGAACCTTCCTGGCGCCCGGGGCTGGCGTGCCCCCCGCCGGGCCGGCCGCGTCCCTACCTGCTCCGCCGGCGATCGCTGCCCCCAGCCCGGGCTCCGGCACGGCCAGCGCCCCGCCGGCGGGCTCGGCGCCCCCGGGGAGATGGCGCAGCGAGTCGAAGAGCGCGGCCAGGCTCCGGCTCTGCAGGTTGGCGGCCGCCGCGGCCTGCGCCGCCTCCCGCCGGGGGGCGGCCTTGCCCGAGGCCGGGGCAGCGGCGCTGGGGGACGCGAGCGGCCGCCTGGCGGGCGTGTCGGCGGCTCCCGGGGAGGGTGGGCCGGGGGGCGCGGCGCCCATGAGGCCGCTACAGCGCTTGATCTGCTTCTGCAGGTACTTGCGATGGTTCACCTTCCGCTTGGACTTGCCAGGTTTATCCAGCGCCAGCTTGATGTTGCTGGACGCCGAGTCGATGAAGCTGAGGAGGTCGCGGGTGGCTTCGCGCAGGTCTCCACCCTCGGCTCCCGACAGCAGCGCGCCCGTGGGCGCCCCAGTCTCTTCATCCTCAAAGCAGCAACCCTTGTCCAAGCCTGCGAAGGCGCTCCCCAGCCCATCTTGGGGGCCCCCGAAGCCGAAGGGCACGAACGGATGAGTGCTCAGGAGCGCCGCTTGCACCGCCATCGTCCCGGCTCTCAGGCTGTCCACACGGCCGCCCGTGCGCCCCCGGCCGGATCCCGCCCAGCCGCGGCGCGCGCCGCGCTGCCCCCTCGCTCCCGGCCCAGCGCGCCGCTCACCTCTCCCGCGAGCTCATTAGATCTTGTGAACGAGGGGCGGAGGGACCGGCAAGGCGACCGCCCCGGTGGCAGAGGGGAGGGGCTTGTTGCCCAAAGCAGGGGAAGGGGGGGTGCCGGTTTTCTTGTTTTATGTGCTTTCTCGAGGCTTAGTTTCCTTAGTCCCTTTTTTCTTTCCTTTCCCTCCCTCCCTCCCTCCCTCCCTCCCTTCCTTCCTTCCTCCCTTCCTCCCTCCCTCCCTTTCTTCCTTCCTTCTTTCCTTCCCTCCCTCTCTCCCTTCCCTGTGTCCCAGGGTGCTTCTTTTGGCTGAAGAAGGCCTGTCCTCAAACTCCAGCTCAAGTCCTTTAGAAGGTCCCCTAGGCAGCAGAGAAGGCAACAGAGCCAGAGAAATGCATCAGGTGGGTTCCATTCCTAGTTCTGGTAACAGTAACAGCCAACAACAACTTGGCTTTTGCCTGCGTCAGTCATCATCTATGTATTACCTCCTTTAATCCTGGGACAACAGCCTGTTGGCCTCAGTGCTCACAAAAGAGAAGGAGACCAATATTTCTTCAAGCTCTAGTTCTGTTACTAAGAGTCAAAACTGAGTTTCCCCAGGACCCCTTAGTCCAGAGCTCTGTCTTTTGCCCCTTGATTGTAAAAGTAACAACTAGTTTATAGTAATGTTGATGCCAGCATCTGGGCCATCTTTTATTAGAACAAAGCACACAGCAAAGGAAAAAGGAAGCAGTCACCCTAAGTCAGCTTTTCCTTAAGAGAGAGTTATAGATGTATATGAAACTCTTAGCCTATTGAGAAGAAAAATGGATTGGAACCTCTCCCTTAACTGCCATGCCACTTAGGTTGTCTTGCAAACTTCTGTTGCACTTTGAAGATCTCCTTGAAGTTCACTTAGATGCATTTCTACCTTGGGATTGAGAAGGAGAGCAAGTAGAGAAGTTTTGGGTTCTGGCCTCTCCACTCAATAGCTGTTGTCTTGAATTGAAACCCTTGCTCCAGTACCTGGCTTTGGACAAGTGATCAGCCAGTCGGCAGTAAGTAATTAGCAGCTTGCTTCTGTTAAAGGCAAGGCTGTCCACCTCACAGATTAAAGATGTCAAATGTAGAGTCCTGTGCAGTCTGGACATAGCTGCCTGGATTCTAGACGTTTCTGGCTAAACTGCTGACTGAATTCAAATGCATATTATGTGACATTTGAGGCAATTTGAATTAAAAAAAATGAAAATGTATGATTCAATTATGTGGGCTTTAGGAGTGGCTAATTGTCCCTGAAATTAAAACTCATAATAGAAATTGAGGAGATGTACCCAGTGAATTAATATTTGGCTTATACTGTAACACCCACTTCTCTTACAATCAACTGACAGGTTTTTGTTTTGTTTTGTTTTTTGTTTTTGTTGGTTGTGGGCCCTGAACTCTGGGCCTGGTGCTGTCCCTCAACTCTTCAGCTCAAGGCTAGTGCTCTACCACTTGAGCCACAGTGCCACTTCTGGCTTTTTTTCCTGCTTATGTCATGCTGAGGAATCAAACCCAGGGCCTCATACATGCAAGGCAAGCACTCTACCACTGAGCTACCTTCCCAGCCCCTCAACTGACAGTTTTAAAAAATAGCCAAGCACTGGTGGTTAGCATCTGCAGACCTAGTTCCTCAGGATGCTAGGATCTAGATGTGATCACAGTTTGAAACCAGTCCAACCATAGAAGTCCTTAAGACTGCATCTCCAAAATAACCAGCAAAATGCTGAGGTATGGCTCATTTGCCAGCCAAGTGAGCTCAAAGCTGTAAGTTTAAACTCTATACTTGCAAAAAAAAAAAATGAAGTTCTCTAAGAGTAAGAGAAAAATTTTCATACATAATGGCTCCAGGTAAATTAAACAGTTATGTTTTCATTGAAACCTTTACTGATTTACTTCAGTAAATCTGAAAAGCTGATTTACTTCAAATCAGCTTTAATACCTAAAATTCCAATTGTTTAGAAATGAAGAAAGGTTTTTGAATTTGAGTCTTTTCATGTTCCACTTATTTTTACTATGATTATGTTAAAATTTAAGTAACTCAGGAAATGGGGAGGGTTTTTTTGTTTGTTTCTTTCTTGGTTTCAATTCTGGTCCTGCCTATTGCTCAGCAAGTGTCTTCAGAAAAATCATTTAATTTTCCTGAGACACCAGTTTCTTATATGAAAAAACAGCTAAAATAATCTCAGAGTTTGGGTGAGAATTGCTTAATATAACAGGAAAATAATGCTTCAAGGTATTAGCTTTTCTCATCTGTATAATGGAGATCATCTCAACTCCTCATGGTTGTTGTATATGAGATGCTATATATGAAATCACCTGGCACAAAACAGTAGTTCAACAAAGGCCCCCATTCTTCATTCCTTGGGCCCCACATTCCTTACCAATGCTGTACACCACACGATAAAATCAGGATCATTTGTCATTTCTTCCCAACTGCCTATTGTAAAAACTTAGGCAATGACCATACAAACCATTGGAGGAGTACTGAAACTATAGCCAGAGATTGAGTCTATATTCCAATACAGCCTTTATCATGTCACAATAGAAAACTCATCCTCGGAGAAACAACGCAATAGTGAGCAAAGGACAAGGGGGGAATCAATGCAACAGTGATAAACACAAGACAATATATTGGAAATGATCTGTCCAACTTGGCGGGGGCAGAGTTGTAGGAGAAAACTGAGGGTAGGGATAACAAGTTTGACAAGAAATGTACTTATTGTCGGGTGCTGGTGGCTCATGCCTGTAATCCTAGCTACTCAGGAGGCTGAGATCTGAGAATCATGGTTCAAAGCCAGCCCGGGCAGGAAAGTCCATGAGCCTCTTATCTCCAATAAACCACTAGAAAACTGGAAGTTGCGTGGTGGCTATAGTGGTAGAGCACTCGCCTTGAGCTGAAGAGCACAGTGACAATGCCCAAGCCCAGAGTTCAAGCCTCACAATTGACAAAAAAAAAAAAAATGTACTTATTACCTTACTCATGTAACTGTAACCACTCTGTATATAACTTTGCAATAAAAAAAGAAAACTCATTCTCTGAAGTTTGATTTATAAAGTAAGACTAGTAATATGAGAGTATTTGATAGAAAATCAGAAAGCTATTGGAAATGAGTCTTTTGTCAATCATAAAATTCTACATACACATGCAAATGGCCACCCAGTCACTTACTCTTTCAATGGAAACATTTTGACTCCCACAAGTTCAGAATTTTGCTAGTCTTGAGGATACAGAGATAAGAAGCTAAGATTGAGGAGTTCCGGGAAGATGGAGGAGGAGAAGCTGGAATCTGAACAAGCTCTTGCATAGAAAACAGTTTCAGAGTTCCAGTGAACAGTCCCAAGCCAGAGAATCACACCAAGTGTGCCATCACAGGACAGAGAGTTAGTCAAGAGAGGGGAAGCCAAGCAGACACATCTGAGCAGCTGCCGCTGCTGCGGCAAGGTCGCAGCGGCGACCACCGCCGCGGAGGCATACCTGAGACGCAGTCCGGAACAAAGGAGCCAGACGCAGCGGAGCGGATTCTACTCAACACCAGCAAGAACCGACAAGGAGCGGACAACTTCATCCTGCACTTTGCAGACCAGAGACGACCCGGGATCCAAGACCCGGGATCCAAGACTCCCCGTGAGTAGAAGCCCCACTTCCTCACTCCTTCTCTGGGAGCAGAGGAGGGAAGGCCACCCCTCCCCCCCCCAGCACCGGTGATCTCCATCTTGGATACCGACAAAGCTCGGAGGAGCGGCTAGCTCCAGCTCAGGCCTTGGAATAGAGCTAGTCATTTGGCAGTTCACGGGAACTTGGCGGCAAGGTGACCTCACAGACTCAGTTCCATCCAGGGAGGGGTCGCCCAGCTCAGGCACCAGCCATTGGAGTGGCTCTCCTCGCTGGGTGGCCAGAGCCAGAGGCTGCCCCTCCCTCTAGCAGCCACCACAATCGATTGAAAAACAGAAACCCTGAGAATGGCTCCAGGCTGGGTGCTGTGAGTTTTTTTTCACAAAATAGCCCCAGGGAAAAGCTACTGTTCGTTGAAAGACCTCAACTCTACCCAGAACCTAGCCTCATCACTGCATCCCCCTCTTTTGTGATTCTCAAAGCAGATCACCCTCCCAGTAAACTAACCTGGGAGGGGGATCTCAAAATCTTGGGTAAAGCAGAGCATTTTTCTGCCTGTTCCAACAAACTGACTTAAGAAACCAATCAAGCCACAGGACCTCAAGCTGACCAGAGACTCCAACCAGACTCTGGTTACAGACAAAAGGGAGATACAGGACTCTTCCCACCCCTCCCAAAAAAAAAAAAAAAAAATCAAAGAACTTTTTTTTTCTTCTTCTTTTCTTTTTTTCTTTTTCTTGTTTTGTTTTTTTTTTCATTTTTTGTTACTTTATATATATATAAAAAATTTTTTTTTTGCTTTTCTAAAACTTTTATTAATCTTTAATTTTTGCCTCTTCTGAAAAAATAATTGTTTTCCATTAACTTTTTTTTTCTCCTCTTATAATTTTTATTTTAGGAATACGTGAATGTGTGTTTTCTTTTCTTTTCTTGTCTTCTTTCTCTTTTTCATTCATTCTTAATTATCTTTTTGTTTTTTTTTCTAGCTCTACTGAACTTCTGATCTTTTCTTCTCACTTTCCTATCCTTTCCAACTTTTCCTCTTTGTTCATCTTTATGTGACTTAACTCTTGTCCTGCACATCCTCAGATAAACCCGTAGTTAACCAGTAGACCCTATCCCCCATTGTGTACACACTTAATCCACAAACTTATTACTCAATTCAAAACCTCTGAGACTTAAATTCATTAATAGCAGTACTACCTCTTTATACCTATATAATATTTTAAGCATTTTTTTAAAGTTTTTCTCATCTCCTC